TGCCGGCACAGGACTTGTATTTGGGAATTTGTAATTTGGACCTCAGGGGGAAACAGACGTGTTTCAAGACTCTGAAGTCCCACCCTGGACGAAAGTCCGAGGGTCATTTGATTTGGATCATAAGGAAAACAGACGTGTTCTGGGAACCCTTGGTTCCGCCCTGGACGAAAGTCTGAGGGTTGTTTGTAATTTTGGTTTGGGGCACCATTCCTTTGCCTCGAGGTTTGTCCTGTCTGATGTCTGTCCTGTTTTTGCTGTTTGTGTCTGTCTCCATACTAACCACCCCCATCCTGGGATTCCACCTCAACTGTGATTGGCAGATGTGCCCAGAGGACAGACTGCTGCCCTGAGGACACCCAGGAGGTACGAACGGAGGCCAAGGACATTTGGACCCGCCTCAGTTAGCAGCGATTGTAGCTGCCTAGTTCTGCCGCCAGTCTTCCCTGGCGCCATTGCCTTATAAGCAGCGTGGGAGGATTGGGTTGGTGTCTGTTCTTTCCTGTCTATTCTGTCTCTGTGCTTTCATCGTTGGTTTTCAATTCAGGATCCACCACGACACCCCCTTTTGTTGAGTCACGTGGTGCCACACTAGGTAACTTTCTTCTCCAGTCTTTGTTTCTGTACGGTTTTCTGTAAGGCTTGGAGGGTTGGAATGGGCTGGGTGACTGAGCATGTTTGTTATCTGTGTTATCTGATGTGTTGTGGCCGAGTATCCTAAGGCTGCTACTCTGAACTCCAACCACTGCTGCAGCCGTCACAGCTGAGTCTGGCCAATGTGAGTCTGTTTTTCTATCTCCCCCTGCCAGTCTGTGAGGCATGCAAAGTGGGGCTGTCTCTGCCCCAACTGCCATCCTGCCATGGGTCCTGGCTTGCGACAGTAGTTTCCCTGCTCAGGGCACATGGCTGCAAGGCCGCCATCTGCCTAGCTGCCCGGCCTTCTCTGTGCTCCACACACATGGTATGCAGGGGGACCGAGGGAGTCTTTTTCCCACCCCTGCATGGGCCAAGGGTCTGGGGTTACCAGCAGCAGCACCCCCTCCCCCAAGTCTCTTCCCTGAGCACATGGAGCTCGGGCGGGTGAACTATCTGGTCTGATTTGGATGTTCTAAAAAAACGGCCTTAATATAAAAGGGACTTTGATAAGAATTTTTATGTTGACTGAGAAATGAAAGAGAATGTACTAAAGTAATAAAGAGAAAAAGGAAAAGAGAAATTTGTCCAAGAATGTCTAAGAAAATCAGAGGAATAAACCAAAGGTATATAGAAAGTTATAGAGGGTTAAAGCAAGTCGTAGAAGGTCAGAGAAAAGGTTGTTAAAAGAGAAAAATGTAAACTGTTTGTTATGGTTTCTCATGTCTACAAATAGTAAATTTTAAAAATTGGTAACTTAAGTTAAAATTTTAACCATATTAAGTTTATTCTGTTTATAAGTCCTGTTTATTTCTCAAGTAATTTATGTATACTTGTTTTAAAATGTTCTGTTTCCTGGCATAACCTAAGTTCTGTTACAAGCATGTAGCTAAAACAAATTGTGAGGGTCCCTGCCATTTTGTAGCCAGCCACGTGGCACAAAATGACTGGTAGCCATTTTGCTAAAGTTGAAAAAAGATACTTAAACCGCCATCTTGACTAAAGATGACCGCATGGAAATTAGAGGTACCATCTTAGAAACAAGTTTTTCAGTTAAGATTTAAAATGTTAATGCTTCTATATATTACAGAAAGACATTAAAGGAATTTAAATTTCTTTTTAAACCCAGTTTTTTAAATGTTTATGTTTTTTTAAAATGTCTTTTTATTAATGTTTGTACTTAAAGAGCGTCAATTTAGAATCATTTTTAAGCAAAGCCTGACAATGTAAAGTTCTTGTTTTATAAAAGCTGCTAATCTATTATAAGATGTTACAGTTTATGTTTTCAGAAGTTAAGCTTAGGGCGTTGGTGGCACACACCTTTAAGTTTAGGACATTGGTGGCAAATGCCTTTAATCCCACCACTTGGAGGCAGAGGCAGGTGGATCTTTGTGAGTTCAAGGTCAGCCTGGTCAGCAAATCGAATTCCAGGACAGGCTCCAAAGCCACAGAAAAAACCCTGTCTCATTTAAGCAAGCAGCTAAACTGTGTACATGTAGCTACTGTTTAAGGACTGTAAGGTAACTCTATGCAATTTTAAATTCAGCTGTGCTAAGTTTCAAATATTTTACTACGTTAAAACCATAGTTTTAAGTTCAGCTATATTACATTACCTAGCCACCTATATGCTTAATGTGTGCTTAAGGAAAGTAACTAAAACAGACAAACAGACCTCTAATGCCTCAGAGATCTTCAGAATATGGCATTTAAATTGCTATCTTTAAAGTTTATAATGTCAGACAGACTGCCAGATCCTGACAGTGACCCAAAGTCTCCAAAGAAGATTATGAGGTACCCCAGTTCCTGCACCTGGACCAGTGAGCGAGATGCTCAGATGTGACACCTGCTGCCAGCCAGGACCTGGCCGAGACTGTGGACAAAGCTGCTGGACACTGGAAAATTGATTGCACCCCCTTTACCTAGATAAAACAAGGTCAGTCTTTTCCATGTCCCTCTTCCACAAAGAAAACAACAACAACAAAAAATCTCTCACCTTATAGGCCTGGCGAAGATTGCTGTTCTTTGAGACATCTGCGTCCAGCGGTAATGGAGTAACTTGGGTATGGCTAACTGTACATGGACTGGCTTCTGTCACTTTTTAGTATATTCGGATAAACTATACCCTTCTCAGATCTCTGAAATATTAATGGTTGTCAGCTTGACAGCATCAGACATTCAGATCCACTATAGGCTATAGTCAGCATGTTAGCTGATAAAGTAATGACTACCTACTGTTTAGTCACAAGTTCAAGGTTTTTAAGTTTATTTTGGTTGTCATCT